AGCGTGACGTAGCTGCTCACCGAGGAGTACGTCTTGTCGTAGTCAGCGCCGTACACCTATGTGAAGCCCTTCACGACTAGCCTCGCCTTCTCGCGCTCGACAGTGTCGTCGATGCGGTACTTGGTCGTCAGCACCCATCGGTTCTTCATGATGTTCACCCCGCGTGGGCGTTCGACCAGCTCCCAAGTCCCCATAGTGATGAGGCTACGGATTTCTTCTTCCATGGCGGCCTTCACCGCCTTGCCCTTCCAGCTCGACAGCGCCTCCTTCACCGTCATCGTGGCGATGTCCCAGTGGTGTTCCGGGTCGGCATGCATGTTCCGGGTCGAGCTCCAGCAGGTCTTCATCCTCCTCGGCATCGTCGTACAGCAGGTCGTCGTCGACCTCGTTGTACACCGTGGTGAAGGCAGCTGGCGGTAGGCAGGCATGCAAGCACAACCACTCCGGCGGCCGTCGAGCTCGACCCGTACGTCGTAGCTCGGGCTTCGTGATCGGCACTTCCATTACATCACTGTCGGTGGACTCACCCGCCGACAGCTCCCCTTTCTTGTCAACGAGAACGTCGTTGACCAGCTGCTTCGACCCTTCAACCGGCTGTTCCTCTGCTGCTGCCTTTGACAACTCTCCTGTTGACCGCTCCGGCTGCCGCTCCCCTGTCGAGTGTACCCCTGCCGATGCCTCCTGTTTGATCGGCTCCCCTGTCAGGTGCTCCCCTGTCATCGACGGCTTCCCATCGTAGTCGACAAGCTTGGCGCCTTGTCGTCCGCCGGCGATGCCACTGGCCTGCGCCACAGGCGACGCCTCCAGTCTCCCCTCATCGTTGGTGGCCGACACATGTGTCGGCGCAGACAGATCGGCGACGGGAGAGGGAGGAGCAAGAACAGGGGGAGGTGGAAGAACCTCCACAACATCTTCATCAGCAGGCTCGCCGACTTCGGCGAGCAAGGGAACCGTCGCCGTCGAGGTGTCCGTCGGCGGGTGCGCCTGCGTCCGCTCCAACGCCGGCCCATACTTCGCCTTCCACACCTCCAGCGACAGCGTCTCGTAGAAGATCACCTCGACCGACGTGACCACCTTGTTGTTGGTCAGGTCGAGCACCTCCCAGCCCTTGCTCTTCGGCGACACACCCAGGTGAAGCCCCCAACGAGCCTTCGGCGCCAGCTTCCCGCCTCGTTGCTGCTCGGGAACCATGAACTGCACCATGCAGCCCCACACCCGTGCTAGCGTAAGGTCGGGCCTCTGCCCGGTCAGCAGCTGGTACGGAGTCGTTCCCGGCGGCGTCGTCGACCGCTCAAAGCAGTTGCGCACCCAGACCGCTTGTCATAGAGCAAGGTGCCACCAGTGATGCTGCACGCCCATGTGCAGTAGCATCGTCCGCACGGACTCGACGACCATGCGCATCTCCCGCTCAGCCATGCCATTCTGCTGCGGAGTGTAGGGGCACGTCAGGTCGTGGACGATGCCCTTCCCGTCGACGAAATCGGTGAACGCCTTCCCGAGGAATTCCCCCCCTTGATAGGAGCGAAGCGACAGAACCGACTTCTTCGTCTGTCGTTCCACAAGCACCAGCCACTTCTCGAACTCCCGCAGCACATCGCTCTTCTTAGCAACCGGCATTGCCCACACGAATCGAGTATGGCGATCCTTCAGCAGTAGGTAGTACAAGCTGCCATCCTTGGCAGCCACTCGAAATGGCCCGCACAAGTCAATGTGCACGGCAGCCAGCGCCTCCGCTGCATCCGAGCCCTTGGTGGGGAAGGTGTGGCGTGCCAGTTTTTCTCCGATGCACGAGACACACGGCGGGTCTGCTCCGGTCAACAACGTGATGTCAAGCCCAGTAGCAACATCATGCTTCGCCGAGCTCTTGATCGTGTCGAGGCTGACATGTGCGAGCCGTGCATGCATCCTGTCGGGGGTCGTCTTCGTCGCGGAGATGATCGTCCGTAGAGCCACCACCTCGGTCGACGGCAACTGCGTCGAGCAGGGGCGAAGGTCAGTGCAGAGTATCCGTCTGGTGTAGCGAGCTCGACCAAGCACCTCCCCAGTCGCAGAGATGAGCAGCATCTCATCGCCATCGCCCTGCAGCAGCACTCCGCTCTCCTTCAGCTGGCCAGCAGACAACACGTTTGCCTGTACGCACGGAACGTAAAGTACGTCGGGGATGAGGACCCGCTTCCCGGCCTCCCCTTGCATAGCGACGGTTCCGCGACCCTTGACAGGCTGCAATGCCCCGTTGAACCCACGCACGTGCTTCACCCCGTCGCTCGGCCCCATGTCGAAGAATACCGACTTCGTCCCCATCACGTGGTGGGAGCACCCGCTGTCGAGCAGCACCGCCATCGGCTTGGCCTGCATGGCTGCCGCCACTGCCTGGAAGTCCTCGCCAGCCTCCGGCGCCAGCAAGACCGTCGGCTCCACTACGCCGACCATCGAGCACGACGCCTCCGCGTCGCCTTGGCTCTTGCCGCTGGAGCTGTCGACGTCTTTCGTCGACGACGTCTTCTTCGACGCTTGCTTCTCCTTGCGCGGCTTCTCTACTCGACGGGGGCGACGACTGGCCGATCGTCCGCGGCCTCCCTTGTTGTCGTCCTCGTCACTGTCATCGCGGTCGGAGCACTCAAAGGAGAGATGGTCAGGGTCGCCGCAGATCCAGCACTCCCGCCGTCGACCACCACCTTGTTGACCCTTGTCCCGCGTCGACCTCTTCTCGTTGACGTCCTTCGTCGACCGCCCACCTCCGCTACCACCTCCGCCTGGCTTCTCGCGCTGCTCCTGCTGATAATTCGGCTTCGTCGGTGCAGCGTAACTCGCCTGCGGAAGGAACTCCGTGGGCTGCTCTGCCTCCTGCATCGCCTCATCCTGGAGAATGTAGCTGGTGATGGAGTCCTCGTCGAGGGACTCACGCGTGCCGGGCACCATCATTTTCCTCTTCATGAGATTGTAGCTGCGCGGCAAGCCCTTGACGATGTGGGTGATGTAGGACGCCGTCGAGTATTCGGCGCCCGCCATTCGCATCTTCGCCAGGATCCGTCGAGCACGGTTGCAGTAATCCGTCGCTGACTCTTGCTCGCCCATCCGAATGTGAGTCATCTTCTCCTCTAGCTGTCCGATGTACAGGTCGTCCCTAACCTGGTACGTCGATATGATGAAGCGCCATGCCTGGTGACCAGCATCCAGTCGCTCTCGACAGCTCCTGAGCGCTAGCTGCACCACTGGCGAGCAGCACCTCGAGATGACCATGAAGGTGAGCAGGTGAGCAGAACAAAACTCCTCGCGCTGCCCGACATCCTCCTCGGGCGGAATTGGCACGGTGCCGTCGGTAAAGCCCTTCAGCCCGGCAACCTCCAGCTGAGGTTCGATCGACTCCCTCCAGGTGATGACGTCCCGTCGACCTTGCAGCGGAGCGACGGTGATTCGATCCGGCGAAAACTTGAAGTAGCCATACGCCGGTGCAATCCCGCTCGCCGTCACATGTGTCGTCGCCGAGAGCCCGCCACCACTTCGTAGAGGAGAGCGACGTCGAACATCGACGTCGGCGTGCGAGCTGCCTGCAGCCGCCGTCAACCGCTGCACTCGCGCCTGGATTCCGTCGACACTACCGTCGACATTGATCACTCCTCTCTGCCTCGTGCCTTCGCTGCCGCTGACTCGTGCACCACCGTCGACCTCGTCGTCGACACCACCTTCGTTGCGCACCGGTCGAGGAGAAGTAGGACGGGAAGGGTGTTCCGTCGCCCACTGCGACCGGATGCCCAACTCGGCGATCACCAAGGGGATCGTCCCGTACTCGCCATCCGCATGGCGTCTCTTCGCGTTAGCCAAGCGTGCCTCCAAGGTGTCTGTTACACCCGCATCAACCACGGGGTCGACCATGGCGACTATCGCTGCTGCCGGCCTACGAACGACTTAGTAGGTGCAGAAGTCGGCTCCTATCTGAAGGTCGCGTGTTCGATCGACACTCACCGCACCATGCGGAGATACACTCTACAACGGTTGTGAGCTGGACTACAGGGTTGGCACGAACTACTAAAGGTGATCGTAGCTTTGCTTGGTTCCTTAGTGCTTGCACATTCACGAGAGAAATTGGCAAGAGTTTCCACTAGCAAAGTTAAGAATCCAGAATAATACAAGAAGCAATCACAACAAAGACTACATCAGGCACCTAGCAACCCTGCAGCTAGCCTGGTCGACCGCCAGCGCAGCTCGGTCGATCGCCTGCCAGCATTGCATAGAGGAGCCGCACCAGCACTGCAGAAGGGCGACCTGCCAACAAAGCAGGTCGACGGCGTGCCCCGTAGAACACAGCAGTGCGCGCGCTCGCAGGTGTGCGCAGACGATTGGCCCGACTTGCCTCGTTGGGCATCCGTCGGCTGTTGTCTGCGCCTGACGAGCCACATTGAATTTGGGATACCAGTCCAAAGTCGCCTGCGCCATCGCGATCTTGACGACGTTCGCGAGCCTTTGCAGAACTCGTCGAGCAGGTTACCCGGTCGACCGGGTCGACCCCTGGTGCTCTGGTCGACCCCCAGGTGCCTCCGGTCGACCACTGGGTCCCTCTGGTCGACCCCCAGGTCCCTCCGGTCGACCACTGGGTCCCTCCTGGTCGACCACAACTCCCGTTGAGCTTCCCCCTGGTTGACGGGCCCCTTGCGTCGACCAAAACTGCTCTGTCGACCTCCCGGTCGAACTGTAGGTCGACGAGATGCTCCCCAGTCCTCCCGTTCGAGTTGCAGTTCAACGGGATGCTCCATAGACCTCCCCGTTGAGCTGTAGGTCGACAGACTGCTTCATTGACCTCCCGGACGGCCCACCCGTCGCACAAACCAGTCAGTTGCAGCTGTCGGGTTCCTTGGTCGACAGCAACACCACAGTGGTCCGCTGCAGCTCGACGTAACCTATCGAGCAGCTATCCCACTGTGAACGGTCGGCTGCTACTCCCGTACATCCGACCAAGTCGCCGGCGTTGCCCAAGCAAGGGCGGGGCCAACACTCCATTCCTGTTAACATTGGCTGGCCTTGCTTGCTGCTGGGGTGGGGAGGGGAAAACAGGGAAGGAAAGAGGGTACACTGTGGACTGTTGGGCTCTGCCTTGGCTGGCCTTGCTTGCTGCTGGGGTGGGGAGGGGAAAACAGGGAGGGAAAGAGGGTACACTGGGGACTGTTGGGCTCTGCCTTGGTTGGCCTTGCTTGCTGCTGGGGTGGGGAGGGGAAAACAGGGAGGGAAAGAGGGTACACTGGGGACTGCTGGACTCTGCCTTGGCTGGCCTTGCTTGCTGCTGGGGTGGGGAGGGGAAAACAGGGAGGGAAAGAGGGTACACTGGGGACTGTTGGGCTCTGCCTTGGCTGGCCTTGCTTGGTGCTGGGGTGGGGAGGGGAAAACAGGGAGGGAAAGAGGGTACACTGGGGACTGTTGGGCTCTGCCTTGGCTGGCCTTGCTTGCCGCTGGGGTGGGGAGGGGAAAACAGGGAGGGAAAGAGGGTACACTGGGGACTGTTGGGCTCTGCCTTGGCTGGCTTTGCTTGCTGCTGGGGTGGGGAGGGGATAACAGGGAGGGAAAGAGGGTACACTGGGGACTGTTGGGCTCTGCCTTGGCTGGCCTTGCTTGCTGCTGGGGTGGGGAGGGGAAAACAGGGAGGGAAAGAGGGTACACTGGGGACTGTTGGGCTCTGCCTTGGTTGGCCTTGCTTGCTGCTGGGGTGGGGAGGGGAAAACAGGGAGGGAAAGAGGGTACACTGGGGACTGCTGGACTCTGCCTTGGCTGGCCTTGCTTGCTGCTGGGGTGGGGAGGGGAAAACAGGGAGGGAAAGAGGGTACACTGGGGACTGTTGGGCTCTGCCTTGGCTGGCCTTGCTTGGTGCTGGGGTGGGGAGGGGAAAACAGGGAGGGAAAGAGGGTACACTGGGGACTGTTGGGCTCTGCCTTGGCTGGCCTTGCTTGCCGCTGGGGTGGGGAGGGGAAAAAAGGGAGGGAAAGAGGGTACACTGGGGACTGTTGGGCTCTGCCTTGGCTGGCTTTGCTTGCTGCTGGGGTGGGGAGGGGATAACAGGGAGGGAAAGAGGGTACACTGGGGACTGTTGGGCTCTGCCTTGGCTGGCCTTGCTTGCTGCTGGGGTGGGGAGGGGAAAACAGGGAGGGAAAGAGGGTACACTGGGGACTGTTGGGCTCTGCCTTGGCTGGCCTTGCTTGCTGCTGGGGTGGGGAGGGGAAAACAGGGAGGGAGAGAGGGTACACTGGGGACTGTTGGGCTCTGCCTTGGCTGGCCTTGCTTGCTGCTGGGGTGGGGAGGGGAAAACAGGGAGGGAGAGAGGGTACACTGGGGACTGTTGGGCTCTGCCTTGGCTGGCCTTGCCTGCTGCTGGGGTGGGGAGGGGAAAACAGGGAGGGAAAGAGGGTACACTGGGGACTGTTGGGCTCTGCCTTGGCTGGCCTTGCTTGCTGCTGGGGTGGGGAGGGGAAAACAGGGAGGGAAAGAGGGTACACTGGGGACTGTTGGGCTCTGCCTTGGCTGGCCTTGCTTGCTGCTGGGGTGGGGAAGGGAGAACAGGGAGGGAAAGAGGGTACACTGGGGACTGTTGGGCTCTGCCTTGGCTGGCCTTGCTTGCTGCTGGGGTGGGGAGGGGAAAACAGGGAGGGAAAGAGGGTACACTGGGGACTGTTGGGCTCTGCCTTGGCTGGCCTTGCTTGCTGCTGGGGTGGGGAGGGGAAAACAGGGAGGGAGAGAGGGTACACTGGGGACTGTTGGGCTCTGCCTTGGCTGGCCTTGCTTGCTGCTGGGGTGGGGAGGGAAAAACAGGGAGGGAAAGAGGGTACACTGGGGACTGTTGGGCTCTGCCTTGGCTGGCCTTGCTTGCTGCTGGGTTGGAGAGGGGAAAACAGGGAGGGAAAGAGGGTACACTGGAGACTGTTGGGCTCTGCCTTGGCTGGCCTTGCGTGCTGCTGGGGTGGGGAGGGGAAAACAGGGAGGGAAAGAGGGTACACTGGGGACTGTTGGGCTCTGCCTTGGCTGGCCTTGCTTGCTGCTGGGGTGGGGAGGGGAAAACAGGGAGGGAAAGAGGGTACACTGGGGACTGTTGGGCTCTGCCTTGGCTGGCCTTGCTTGCTGCTGGGGTGGGGAGGGGAAAACAGGGAGGGAAAGAGGGTACACTGGGGACTGTTGGGCTCTGCCTTGGCTGGCCTTGCTTGCTGCTGGGGTGGGGAGGGGAAAACAGGGAGGGAAAGAGGGTACACTGGGGACTGTTGGGCTCTGCCTTGGCTGGCCTTGCTTGCTGCTGGGGTGGGGAGGGGAAAACAGGGAGGGAAAGAGGGTACACTGGGGACTGTTGGGTTCTGCCTTGGCTGGCCTTGCTTGCTGCTGGGGTGGGGAGGGGAAAACAGGGAGGGAAAGAGGGTACACTGGGGACTGTTGGGCTCTGCCTTGGCTGGCCTTGCTTGCTGCTGGGGTGGGGAGGGGAAAACAGGGAGGGAAAGAAGGTACACTGGGGACTGTTGGGCTCTGCCTTGGCTGGCCTTGCTTGCTGCTGGGGTGGGGAGGGGAAAACAGGGAGGGAAAGAGGGTACACTGGGGACTGTTGGGCTCTGCCTTGGCTGGCCTTGCTTGCTGCTGGGGTGGGGAGGGGAAAACAGGGAGGGAAAGAGGGTACACTGGGGACTGTTGGGCTCTGCCTTGGCTGGCCTTGCTTGCTGCTGGGGTGGGGAGGGGAAAACAGGGAGGGAAAGAGGGTACACTGGGGACTGCTGGGCTGGGATCATACAGACAGTGATTGCTGCTGTGGGGAAGCGATGTCAGGGAGGGTACTAGCAGGAAAGACGGAACACAGGAGAAAGGTGGATGGGGAGTGGGTGGGGGGAAGAAGATGACGTGTAGGGGTGGGGGAAGGAGGAGGGTGATGTTGGTGCAACACTGAATGAAAGAAGGAAAGCCTTCAACCAAACACTACAACAACACATTGTCTAGAATAGAGTGTGGAAGGGTTGAAAAGGTTTCATTCTCATTTGGAAGGAGAGGGAGGAACGGGGGTGGGGTAGGGGCGGGGGTGTGATAGGAGTGTTAAAGCATAGTCACTTTCAGCGTACTGGTCCAGGAACAGCACTGTCGTGAGGGTGCCTACTTTCTTCCGACCGAGCCTTGGCTGTCGCACGTACAAGTCGAAGTCGCCGTACACCCAATTGCGCCCCATCCGTCAATGCGTCGTTGCGATACGCTTGAATCATATCACGAATGTAGCCATTCCTGTACTTGTCAGCTTTCAGAACAATACGCACGATAAAATGCTCCTTCGGCTCATTGAGGCCTAGGGCCTTGCGCAGGGCCGCCTCTAGGCTTTCGGTACTAGGCCACATTGTGAAATCAGTGACTGGGGTGTCAAAAAACATGATATCAAGAGCCTCATCCACGTGTTCCTGCAGGAGAGCAACAAAAATTGTGCACAACACGGCAGAGTGGGAGAGAGAACAGGGGAGGGAAGGGAGGGCGTTAATGTTTGTGGCATGAGGAGTTTGCGGGGTGGGGGATGTAGGCACCCAATGCAGATGTCATTTGTAAGCACGGCGAAGGTTGAATCGAAGGGTTGCTGTTCACCTTAAGGTCCCCGTTCACATCCGGGAAAGCATCTAACGCCGTGATGACGTTATTGTACCACCCGTGTTGCCGTAGCGACATTGCAGAGCAGTCGATGGCCTGTCGTCTGATGTGGGCCTTTGCCACAGCACGGCTAAAAGCGGCCTGCGTTCGTGGCCACACCACCGGTGAGAAAATCAGGGTCGGTGTTGCATTCGGCTGGGTGCAAGGTCGAGTGGTTGAAGGAGCAAGCTGGGGTGCAACCGGCAACTTTTGGGAAGGGCTGGGCATATTGGCCTGGCGCTGAACCATGGCGTGACTGCCAGCATGAGGGCCTTTTTGCTGAGGTTGCTGATTCTCCAACTCAGCTATGCGTCGCGCCTGTTGTCGGATTTGCGCTTGCGCGGCCTCAAAAGCGGCTCGCGAAACCCTGGTTGGAGCAGGCCGCTGTTCACCATCATGCTCATAATGATTCTCCAAGGAGTCATCATCGTCGGAGTCTTCATCCGACCCGGCCTCCACATGTGATGGTCTAGGGTCTGGGAGAGCGGACTTCTATTTGCGCACACGGAGTGCCCATGGGAGTCCAGACGGCTGCAATTGTGTAGTAGGGGGCGCCACTGCGGCAGCAGGGGGTGCAGAGGCTGGTGGGATGAGGCCGGAGCCAGGCTGACCTGAGTTGGTTGGGTGCAATCCAGGATTGATATAGGAGGGCGAGGGTGAGAGTGCACTGGGAGCAGGTGGCAGGGAGGTCGATCCAGGTGCAACGGCGGGCCTGGACTGGCCAGGAACCGAGACGTGCACATAGGCAACGGAGGGAGAGATCCGGGTAGCAAGCTGATGAGTCGCCGCCGCTGCGTTGACATAGGCGGAGGAGGGAGAGTTAGTGGCGCTTGCAGCTGAAGGGGAGGCAGAGGCGGTGGGCAGGCCAGGGATTGTGTGAGAGGCGGCGAGCTGATGAGTCGCCACGATGACATAGGCGGAGGAGGGAGAGATAGTGGCGGCTGCAGCTGAAAGGGAGGCAGAGGCGGAGGGCAGGCCAGGGATTGAGTGAGAGGCGGCGAGCTGATGAGTCGCCGCTGTATTGACATAGGCGGAGGAGGGAGTGATACTGGCGGCTGCAGCTGAAGGGGAGGCAGAGGCGGAGGTCAGGCCAGGGATTGAGTTAGAGGCGGCGAGCTGATGAGTCGCCGCTGCGATGACATAGGCGGAGGAGGGAGAGATAGTGGCGGCTGCAGCTGAAAGGGAGGCAGAGGCGGAAGGCAGGCCAGGGACTGACTGAGTGGTGGCGAGCTGATGAGTCGCCGCCGCTGCGTTGACATAGGCGGAGGAGGGAGTGATAGTGGCGGCTGCAGCTGAAGGCGAGGCAGAGGCGGAGGGCAGGCCAGGGATTGTGTGAGAGGCGGCGAGCTAATGAGTCGTCGCTGCGTTGACATAGGCGGAGGAGGGAGTGATAGTGGCGGCTGCAGCTGAAAGGGAGGCAGAGGCGGAGGGCAGGCCAGGGATTGAGTGAGAGGCGGCGAGCTGATGAGTCACCGCCGCTGCGTTGACATAGGCGGAGGAGGGAGAGATAGTGGCGGCTGCAGCTGGAAAGGAGGCGTTATGTGCATGTTGACCATTTCCTTGAGTGTATGTGTCTGCTCCACAACCGCCATCACCAAGTGCATCAGTGCAGCCTTTCTTGCCCGTGCGGACGAAAGTAGAACGCTTCCCCTTCCGCACTTCTTTAGGTTTCCTTGCACGTGTCTTGCGCTTAGTACCACCCGTGATCGACACATTGTTCAGCGACACGAATCTCGAGCCTGAGGCAAAGGGTTATAAAACAAACAGAAATAGCAATAAGTACATTTTGTAGATTAAGTCGTCTGATCCGACAGTGCGCAGGTCAGTTGTTCATACGAATGGCTATGAGGAGTGAGACGTACCTTCAGCAAACACGTCGTCCTTGGGCTCGTCTTGGGCTCGCCCATTGCTGTGCATCGCGACGGCTTCCGGAGAGCCAAAGGTACCCACAGCTGGGTTTGAGGTAACTTCAGCGGCTCTTCTAGGAAGAACTGCAGCTACGAAGGGACTTGGCACGGGCTGCATCGTGAAACTCAGGAATTGGCAGAGAATTGGTTGATTGGCCGTAGGGATATCTGGTAAGAACTAAACTAATATGCCATAATCTCACCTAAGGTACCAGATGAATAGCCTAGAAACCCGGGCACGTGGGAAGCTCAGAAGGAGGCTACTAATTTTCCGAGTTTGATTAGAAAACAAGGAATGGCGAAAGTACCACAAGGAGAAAGGTGTTTGTTGATGGGAGAAAGAGGAGGGGTGGGTGGATGGGATGGTCAAACGGGATGGGATGGGATGGTCGCGCCAGTTGCGCAACACCGTCCAAGCTGCAGACTTTATCTCACGTTCGACGTGTGGGGCGCTTTGACAGCACATCTTAGTGTCAGATCGAAGTTACGTGACCTCCCTAAGGGCGCGCCCTTCTAGTTCGTTTGGATGCGGCTAAATTAGATTGTTCACGTTTTTCAGCGGTAACAAACGTTTTTGGCAGGTCGAGATGGGTATTGAGCGCAAACTAGATGAGGAAAAGCGCCCCGTTACAAGGTTGCAGTGTGAGATCTTTGAGTGAGTTGCAAAAAACATACAGCCTTGGTTTTTGTTAGACACTTGAGCTATCATATACTGTTGCTGGTTCTTGCGCACAATTAGAACCGTTGGCAGTTTAGTACTCCCAGTGCAATTAGGGTTTTGGTGTGTCCAAGGGTAAATTAAAAACAAGACACCTTGTCAGGGTGTAATATGTCACGATATCGCGTGATCGCCATGTGTAGTCCGTTTGAAAACATAATTTTGGCCTTGATAGGCTGCTGTTCAAGGTGAATCCACAACAGTAGTGCATGGCACACCCGCGACACGCATAGTCGTCAGGGCATAAATGTTACGTCCACTATGAATGGATTCAGTCCGCTTATATTGTTTTACACAAAGCATTTGTACAGATGTACAGCTGCAGGGTTGTGATGGCATGTACTAGTAGACTTTCAACAAGGTGTTGCGATCAGAAGGTGGATCGTGCCTATGATCACCTCAGCAAGGTTCGCAAGATCATAGTATTGCAACGAAAGGTTGTGACCGTAGATCAGAGTGAATCTAGATGGACACAGTTGATAGAAACAAGCTCACACTTTCATTTATTTAGGACTACAAATGAATGCGAAACGTGGCAAGTACGTGGAAGCCGACGGAGCAGTCTGTCGACCTGACAAGTACGTGGCAGTCGACGATGGGAGCTCGGCCCCAACAGCTGACACTTCTGGTCTACGGAAGGGGTACGTCGATCGGGGTGTTGCTAGACCGGTGCTGTGGTCGACCAGAGCACCTGGTGGTCAACCACGACACCTGATCGACGAGCAGAGCACCTGGTGGTGTCCTGGTTGACGAGGTAACCTGCTCAACAGTCGCAGACAACAGCAGACGGATGCACAGCAATGCAAGTCGGCCCATTCGTCGGGGCGCATCAGCGAGCATGCGGACTGCTGTCTTCTACGGGGCAACGCTGGACAGCAGCTCTGCTGCAACGTTGGCACGCCGTCGACCTGCTCTGTTGGCAGGTCGCCTTTCTGTAGTAATGGCGCGGCTCCTCTACGCAACGCTGGCAGGCGGTCGACCAAGCTGTGCTGGCGGTCGACCAAGCCGTGCGGGCGGTCGATCAGGCGAAAGCTGCTCGACGGAGCATTCGTCAAACTACTCTACGGAAGTCTGGCGGCTGCGAAATTCGTCATGTGGAGGTAGAGCAGTCAACGATTGAACTCACGCTAGTTGTTGTCGCTCTGCACTGTCAGGCCAGAATTGAGCAAGCAGCAAGCGAAGGCAAGGTCGAGCCTCATCGAGGTGGACGCGAACTACAGCAAGCTGACCTTCTACCAGTACTCTGCGCGACTGTACTCCTTCGTCGTGTAGCTTGAGCTCGGCGTATGTGTCGACGGCGGCTGGCATTTTCGGCACTCTACGCGGCTTGTCGCCTGAAGTTGCTGGTGAAGCCATAGCTATCACGACCAGGTGGGACTTCTCGCGGGCGACCTACGTGGAGCACCCCCCAGCTGCGCGCAGCTGCGAGTCAGGTGCACCGTTGTCATGCGGGTGCAGCGCTGTGCAGCAGACTTGCTTCAACGTTGGCACACCGTGGACTTGCAACGTGGGCAAGCCGCTTCTCTTCAGGGCTGGACCGGTGCGAGCTATGCTTCGCTGGATCGAGGTCGACCGTGCTGCGCTGGAGGTCGACCGACTTGCTTGCTAGCTCTGATGTAATCATTGTTGCCAAGGTTGTTGCTACCATTGTTGTCAGCTTTCCTTAGTCAAACACTGGCAAAATTTCACAAAGAAACTGGCAACTCGTGTGCTCTCAATGGAACGACAATGGAACGCCGAGATCACATGAGCACTCGTGCCTAGCCCGCAGTCTAGCTCGCGTTGAGGAAGTTATTTCCGCTCCGGTCGGGCCGTAGGTGACGCACCAAGGATCCCCTCATCGCCGGCGGCCTACGAGGATCCGTTCCATGAAACGTCAACGACGGGCAGTGAAGGCGATGGCAACAAAGTGACCGGTCGGGGCACAGTAGGAGAAGGGAGTTTGACTTCATTTATGTCTGCGTCATCGTGCTTGTCGCAGTCGGTGAGCAAGGGAGGCATATTCGAGGACCCACCTGGCGACGGGCCAGACGGCTGTAGGCTGCACCCCCAGCACACCAACTTGGAAGTCGTCTGAGTCCATTTGAGTGTGGGACTATTTTACGTTCACCATATGAGGCATGTGTTATTTCGCGTATTTACTCGCACGAATAGTCTTGCGATTGTACCCACTTGACACATCAGAGAAAGGGTCCTTTGAGCATCGACTCGGCAAAGATGCCATGAAAATGTACAGTTATGCAACGACGATGAACAATCATACAGTTATAATTTCCAATAATGTTTGTAAGACAATCAAGGGTTGTTATGAGAAATACCTAGAATTGAATGTTTGTTCGCATGTATTGCCACACAGCCAAATTGAAACAAAGCGTAATAATAAAAGACCATGCGTAATAACTTCATCTCACCCCACAAGTGGGTTGCGCGTGGAAAGGGATATGGTACCCTAATTTCCGGCGACTAAGAGAGAAGCTCTCGCACGGCCTGTAGATCCGTTTGGCCCCTACTGATAACGTGAGGAGGTTGTCGCCTGCTTCTGCAATCAATAACATAGCTTGAAAGACAATGCTGCGGTGAAAATAAGGGTTTTTTCACAAACATGGCAAACACATGTAGCATGAGCTAACCAGGCCATAGTGTTAGAGCATCTAGCATCTTGTCTCTGCTGGGCTCTTATATAGAGTGTGGCATGTCCCACTTTGTTCCTTAGGGGTTAGGCTGGATGGACTTGTCTCATAACAAACAATCTGAGTCTACCTGAGCCACTCATCTCATATGCACCATCTCCAGCTGACTTGGTGGCTCTAGTTCTCATAAAATGCATGCCAACAATCCACCACAACACCACTTGACCATGGAATTTGATGCAACTTGTGCTTTATATGATCAATCCTCACATGTCATATGGGGTCTTGATGGCTGCATCCAAACAAAAACACTGTTAGGTGATGCCCAGCTAAGCAAATTCCTATCCACTTGTGGTCACTTCCATCATGTGAGGGGCACATGAATCCATCCATAATATCAACAATGGGCAACTAATGATACCTCCCACAGTCATCACTGTTCAACTGCAGCACTTGACAGCATTACTAATGGTGTGCATGGACAGGAGTGCTGCAGCATTAAGGTGGGCATGAATTGCCTTTAATGCCATTGTATTTTCCTGGAATTTTCTGGGCCTTCTTTTAGCATGAGATGTAGGCGTGAATTCCAATTCCTCTACCGGTTGAGTAAAAACATTCCCCACTACAAACATTCTCTTCCCAATCTTGCTCGACATACTTCACGTCTTAGGTAAGCCACCCTCCTACCCTTTCTCCTTAGCTAATGGCGGGCCCCTCAGCCGCCTGACTCGTTCAACAACAGCAAAGATGTGAGTCGCCTATCACTGCTATTCCGCGTATGTTACTCTAGAAGCAACTCTACATATCCATCTCAGCTTGTTTGCCAAGCGGTCCCCGAACTATCGCGGCTCGTATCATCTCTTGTTCAAAGCTGACTCAGTGCCGCACCCGCCGTCACCGCCACCAAAAGAGTTCTGTATCTAGCGGACCGTGCTTGTGACTTCCTTTTCGTAGTAGAATTCCATGATTGGGATGTCTACTAAAGCTCCTCGTGCAGATGCGTATCACTCGGTAGAGATCTCGCTCACACACACCTTCTGAATGTTATTGAGATTAATCAGTCGCGATCTCATCCTCATGGTCGGGGTCTCATTCTCGCGGTCGAGATATCTTTCTCACGGTCGATATCTCATATTATCACGGTAGCAATCTCAATCTCATGGTCCAGATTTCTTTCTCCCGGTCGACATCTCATTCTCCCGGTCTACATCTCTCCCTCACGCACGAATCCTCTCTCTCATGGTCTAAATCTCTATCTCACGGTCGAAAGCTCTCTATCTCACAGTCGGAATCTCTCTATCTCACGGTCGAAATCTCTCTCTCTCTCTCACGATCGATCTCTCTGTCTCTCTCTCATGGTCGAAATCTCTCTCTCTCTCTCTCTTTGTCGATCTCTCTCTCTCTCACGGGTGTTATCTCTCTCTCTCTCTCTCTCACGGGTGTTATCTCTCTCTCTCTCTCTCTCTCTCACGGGTGTTATCTCTCTCTCTCTCTCTCTCTCTCTCTCTCTCTCTCTCTCTCTCTCTCTCTCTCGTACGGTCGAAATCTCTCTCTTTCACGGTCGATCTCTCTCTCTCTCTCTCAAGCGGTCCTTGTATTGATATAACGGGTGAGTACAAACGATCGAGGCAGCATAGAAACAGGCAACCCCAGAGACTAAAAGAACAACCTAGCAGCAAACCAGATCCTAAAGACAACCTACAACCCCACCCACCAACCATCACCCCCCCCCCCCCCCCCCCCACTGGAAGCTCCTAAGGGAGCTCAGCA